GACTGAATTTGCAACCCTTGGGATCGTCCTTTTTATATTACTGTAATCAATCAAGATGAGTTACTGAACATTGTATTTGCCAGTATTATTTTGTCATTTATGTATTAGATATCAGTAGTATTTGTTGATACAATTACTTTCCATATTTCCTTGACGTCAGCCTGAAAAATTTGTGAGGACTAAACTTGATCTTTGCAAAATAATACTAAAACTGTATGTGTGCTTTTTTCCTGTTTGTTTTCTAGGTGAGAATAAGGAATTACATCAGTCAGTGCAACAGCCTGCTTCAAGTTACTCAAGGGGGTACCATGCCAGAGGGTTCTCCGGGAGACCATTTCCTCCTCCATCAGGCTCTCAAGGGTTTATGAGACCACAAGCAAGACCACCACAGCTATACCCTTCAGACAGCAGGATCCACCAGGCATCGCCAGTGTTTCCACAACCTCATAGCAAACAAGATCCAATGATGCAGCAGTATACCTTTCCTCCTCCAGGTTTTGGTTCTGTCAATTATGTGCCCCAGTTCCACCTTCCACCTTCAAATATGAGTATGATTTGGACAGACTCAGACACGTACAATTCATCATACGCATATTTACCACCACCACCGCCGCCACCACCTCCACCTCCTGCAGATAGCAAGCCACCTCAGTTCAGGCCTTACTAAGTTTCCATAAATGTGCATACAGAGCATTGCAGTTTAAAGGGAGGAAGAACAGGCTGCCAAGACTATTCCCAGATTTTGGGGATGCTTTCTTTTTTTAATATGGCAGTAGAATAAATGCCGAATTTCATGCTGTGAAGCATCCATAGAAATGTATTTTTATCTATGTATGTTTTCTGTTTCTAAAAAGAAAATTATGTTATAAAAATAACTGAATGTTAAATAATAGTTTATTTTATAATATCTTCTACTTTGGGATGATAAATAAAAACTTTTTTGAGACTGGTTTGTAGTGGTGGAAGTCTATTTTGTAATAAACGTAAGAGTTTATATTACTGTCAAATAGTGATGAGGTTGTCACATAGATGGTATTTTAATATTTTTAGAATAGGTGTATCTTGCTATGCTAAATACTTTTTCTCGATTTCTGCAAATTTTGAAATTGCTGGCATGGGACCTAAAAATCTGAAATGTTGATTTTAAGCTAGATTTGCCATTATGAAGGCATAAATTGCTATCCAACTTTTAATACTCCATTAATTGCATATTAACTAAAAGACTGGATCTGGAAGGTCGTTTTTTTTTTAAAATAGCTGTAATAGCTAAATCTGAATTTGGACTGACAGCTGATTTACTCTGTCAGATTTAGTGTCCTGCAATGGCTATAGAAAATCAACCTATCGATGAGATGCTTTGCATTTAATTTAGAAGGTAAAACCAGCATAATTTCTCTACCTTGTCATTGCTCCTAATGCAGAAATACCCACAGAGACCTACTACAGGATGTAGTCAACATTTTGGGCAACCGGTCTGTCAGGGAGAGAAAATGTGTCAATTTTGGAACAACTCCCTTGTTTAAAGTTGTAAATGAAATAGTACTGGATTGCTGTTTGATTGTTCTTACAGTAAAAACTGTCTCTTCCAAAATGTCAAGGTTTATCAGCTTTCCCAGCTTGTTTCTAGGAGAAAGGTGAATTTGTCAACCAAAGATCATTTGGAACAACCTCCACCTTTCCAAAAGGTCAGTCCTACAATTGCACTTCATAAGTCTCCGTGGAAGTGACTCTGACTAGGATGGAACATGTTACACTGCATGAATATCTTAAAAAGAGGAGAAAAAAAGTAATTGTAGGGCAGATATCTTAAAGATTATTTTTACACTGAAAAGTCATTACTAGTTGTGATGGTTTTTGAATCATTAATCAACAATGCAGTCACTTTGAACTGTTGGACAGAACTGATAGAAGTGCGCAGTATGTATTTCTATTCTCTAACTCACACTGGCCTCATTACTTTGAAAATGTAATTAGAGGCTAATGAAGCTGTGCAGGTGTAGCTTAGATTTTAATTCCAAATAGCTTAAGAATGAAGCAAAATTTCAATGCACAAAGTGAGGGACTGTTGTCAAGATGGTGCTACTGGTAACTAAAATTTAATTTCAGACTTTAAGTTCCCTGTGATATATTTACATAGCAATATTCAGTGATACATCTAGATCTACTGTTTCATAGGTGTGCAACTGAGAAGGTTGTATAGACCTCAGTTTATGGCAAGCAGGTACTGTACAGTGGCAACAAATAGTTTGAGAACAGTAGCATTCCAGACATCAGTGTTTAACTCTGTTCCTGCAGACTGGTTTTTTTTTTTTTAGTAAGAATATCCAATTCTAGTCTGTTGTAAATGCTTAGGTTTTAGGGGAAAGGAGAAAGGTGAATTCCTGTCTACCTGAGCTGTCACCCAGCTATTACCGTTCCCAGTGGTTGGTCAGAGGTGTGAGTAAACTCACTACAGCCTCATGACTGGCTTGGCAGAATTGCTTTGTCTAAGCTTTCCTTGACTTGATTTAGATATAACAGCAGTTTGTTAATGACCAGGTGACTATGATAATTTGTTTTACAGGTATGGGGTTTTTGCCTATAGTATACACACAGGTTTTTGCATAGATGATAGTGGCAAGTAGTTACTCTGTAGAGTGGGATATTCAAGGGTTTAATGGGGTAAGATATTGTAGAGGAAGAGAGACCTGACATAACAGGCTTCAAGTGGCAGTGCAGGGTACAGTGTAGAGAAGTACTGGGGATGTCAAGGCATGCAGGGCTGGAACTGGAAATTTGGGTTGCAAATTCCTCTCCACTTGTCAGTTGAAGAAAAGCAACCCTCATTCTTGATAAAAGTGTGGTTTGATGATAGTAGAGAGGAAAAGTATATGTCACATATATATTTCTCTACAATAAAATTAGATGTAATGGTGAACATGCAGACACAAAGTTGCAAAGATATTACAAGGAAGTTAAGTATAAAAGTGTTCTCAAGTTAGTTATGTATTATGGAGGAAGAAACTGTCAACATTCTACTTGTACTTGGGATGTTAATGGCTTGCTCTATGTCCCTAGCACAAACAGATTTCATCAGCCTCGAGATCTAAAGGAGTGGTTGAAGGGTAAGTGCAACACTAAGAAAAGGAATGAAGTTCTAGGAAGTGCAGATACAACAGTCTTAATTGTTTCTAATTAATTTCTAATGATTTCTAGTTGACTACTTATGTCTGAATACTGACTGCTTTTTTTACAAATGAATGTACTTGGTATAAGAATACTACCATGTCATGTTTATTAGCTTTCACCTATTTACTGAATTTTTAGGATTTAGATATAGAGACAATGTTCTTAGAAGAAAATGGGCACCCTGTGAACCAGCCATACGGGGAGATGAACTAAACACATACAAGGTCAGGAGATGCATACCAAGCACGAAAGGAGGATGAGAACAAACTCTGCAAGGATAAGATAAAGGGAACAGAAGAGCAACAACACCTGTGAAGGGAGGACTGAGCTGGACTATTATCCAACCTATCATTTAGCTTTCAGAGGCACGTGAACAAAGGCTTTTCCCGATCATTATATGTGTGATTGCGTGTACGGAGAGAAACACTGTATATTAGGGACCATCATAATGTGGCTTCATCCTGATTCACATTGAATTGTCTGGAGTCTGTTTCTCTGCATTTAGAATTTGCTAAATTTTTGGGAGGTTAGAACTTTACTATAGTTTAAGCTCCACTTTAGACAAGAGTCAGCAGTGGGAGGTGGATGAACTTTTAGAGGTGAACAGTGAAAGGACAAGTTTATTAAAGGAAAATTCGGACAAGTGGTGTGGGGAGCAGGGAAGCTTATGCTGCTACAAGTTGCTCTGAGAAATGGTGGAATCTACAGTCTTGGAGGGTTTCAGAATTTGACTTTAGACAAGGTCCAGTGTGATGTAGTGCCCAAGTTAGTCTTGCTTTGTGTAGAGAGGCGGATCAGGTGGTCTGTAAAAGCCATCCTAGCCTGAACTATTGTCATTGCTGTCATTCTTCTGGAGTTCTAGCTTCTCACCAGAGATTTTTTGTTTTGTTTTGTCTCTAGATGCTAAAAGGCATGAATAGCCTAGCTGGTGTTTGGAAAGCTTAGCTTTTCATTTGTGCTATTGTGCTCTTTCATTATCCTACAGATTTTTATATATAAAATATCCATGCTGTGCTAAAAGTTGAACTTGCTGTGGAAGATAATGACTGCTTCCATTTCACTGGCTGTAAGATGAATTGAAGAATTGTTCTTTTATTAGTTGTTTGGAAACTAATGCTGATGAGAGTGTCATTTGCTGTTGTTTTCCCTTAGGGGGTAAAGCATTTTGTATTGTACAATTTATTTTAAGAATGATGTAATGAATAAAAGTACCCAAAATGTATTTTAAAATTGCAACAAAACACAAAATCCCTGAAAGTTATTTTAAACAAATGTTTGCTAAAGTAGGGATTTTTGCCTACTGGAGACCTGTTTAATAATGTGAGGCCCTCATGCTAGGATGCATATTAATGCCATGCAGATGAAAACAAGAAATAAGCAGGGGTTTTTGTAGGTTATATTTAGATTGCCAGGTTCATTTTCCATTTCTTTTCAAGTCAAAGATACAGTCAATTATTCTTGTCTAGTGAATTTAGTGATGCACATAATGTGATTTAAAGGTTTGCTGAATCTGCACTAAACAGTTGGTGATAAATTTGTTATGGTGACAGGTGAAAATATGGAAAACACTGCCAAGGATGACAAGCTTTTACAGAGCATCTTAACTTTCTGGAAAGCATGAGTAATGATCTTTCTTTATCTCAGTCACCTGAAACTTTACTCAGAGTTATTGAATGTGGGGTAGTCTTCATTTGCCATAAATGAAACCTGTGGTAGCTATGGAAGAATATTATTGTTGCTTTTCCTGTGAATTGATGCTTTGCATTTTTTAGGTAATATTTTAAGAAAATGCTTCATTAGAATTTTCTGTGTGATTTACAAGATCTAAAATCAATGAACATTATGAATCATAGAATGGTTTCGATTGGAAGGAGTCTTAAAGATCATCTGGTTCCACCCCCTCTGCAATGGTCCTTCCAATAGACCAGGTTGCTCAGAGGCCCATCCAGCTTGGCCTTGCTTAATGTATAGTGCTTGCTATTTATTAGCACAAAGCCAGCCACTGATACAGGGAGACAGGGGTGAGCAACTGTCACATACTCTAGCTCTGAAGCTGGAAACAGGATTTTCTTTCTCTGACTCTTCTGCACCCATCTGAGTGTGTGTACATGGGCATAAAATAACTTGCTCCACCAAATGCTGAAACTACAATGGGAGCAGTAATGTTTATGAAGCATCTAAGTTTGCTTATATTAAGTCTCAAAGACTATTGTTTGCATTATGTTCTAAACAGGAAGATTTCACTCTGCAAGTTTCCTCCTGTGGGAAGTAGGGGACAAAAATCTAGAAATTTCTTAACCAAGTTTAAGAACTTCTACTTGATCTCAGACTAAGTTGTCATGAAGGTCTGTCTTTTCAAACAAGTAATACAGGTAATATTTTCTTTAAAGAGAAGAAAAATGCCATTACCTATATTAATTTAATATTTGCTTAATTTTAATATGTACATTAGATGGTCATAAATCTGTTCTGTGAGAATTGCATGCACGTGAGATCTGT